GGGCTAGGAGATAAACATAATGCAACTATTGGACACAGCAAATGTGTTGCACGAGGGAAAATGATTCTACCTGTTATTCATATGCATGTGAAAGTATCAAACTAGTTCAGCCTCTTCCTTGCCATAGTCATACACTATCTCAATCTGCATCATGCAACAAGTTAGAGATTAGAAAAGGGATTCCATGAAGTCTGCTTGATGGTAAAAGGAATTAGAAAAACTGGGTGGCATGTGACACCAAATTAAAATTTTCAGTTTGTGAAAAGGTAAATAGCAGCTCATTGATCAGCAGCACTAAGATAGTGCTGCGAAAATTCATCATGTTACAAAAAGCAAAAAAACAGAAGTATTGTCCCTTCCATTCTGCAGGGAACTACTGAAATGAATGTTAATAGGCTAGAGTTGCCAAAAAGAAGAGCAGAAGCTAGGGGAAAGCATGACCTGCAGAGATTAAAGGGTCCTGTCGATTGTCATAGCAGACAAATTTGGATTGGTTAATATAGGACAACTTAGTGCTTTTAGTTCATGTGTGTGTTGATGTACTTATCTATCAACAAAAAAAATGTGGGCCAATGCAACATCCCCATTCCCCAGGATACTTTTCTAATAATATTTTTTTTTTGATAACCATGGTGTCTGGGCCAGCTTGCGCGCACCTCGACTAATTCCACGGGATACCTACCACCTCCCACCAGCAACACGTAACTCTATCCACCAAGGCTTGGATAGGTAGAAAGAAATCACCTAGTGTTTTTTGCCTCCGCTGGGATTTGAACCTGAGACCTCATGGTTCTCACCCACTTCATTGACAACTAGACCACACCCTTGGGTGCACTTTTCTAATAATAGTATTCGCTAATTAATAAAATTATAACTATTATCTTAACAATCAAGCTGGCTTAAGTAAGGCTACAAACTTTTACGAAGCGAGCAAAAAGTTCAACATAATCTTTTGTCACAATATGCTTGTCCTGCTTCTCTTACTACTCTGTCCTGATTTCCATCTAAATAAAGAGCAGTAATACAACTAAGTATAACACTGTATTCTTATGATGTTGATGTGACATCTTTTTGACAAGTTCCCTCTTTTTGACAGTTCAATGTTTAACTATTTTGATTTGAACAAAGGTGCTTAAAATGAAACAACTCTGCGTGAATTTTGAAAATAATCGACCAAAACCGACTGTTGTAGCCATACAAAACGAGGAGAATAAAGTTAAAAATCTAGCCAGCAATTAACAATGAGAAAAAACAAATTCAACTCGAGTCAGAGCATTGCCAAGAAAAAGAAGAAATAAAATGAACTAGATATATCGTCAGTGTCGCTAGCATCCAAGCAATGTCGTAAACACAGGCAAAAGATTAACACTTGGATATTATACCAGATGGTATTCGCAGAAACTGACAAAACAGGAAAGCAAATGACTTAGGCAACTAGTGTAAACTGACACATTGAATGTGAATAATGTAAGCACCTAGCATAAGCTGATACTAGAGCGTGATGTAAATAAATGTTTAAGCAAATTACCCCTTCTGGCGGTACTGGATTTCGGTTGAACTTGGAACCACCAGGTGCCCACGGAACTGTTCATCACAGAAAGAGAAAACCTATTATTACAAGTCTAAAGAAAAAGAGATTATTCAATCAATCGTGTTTCTAAAACTTGTCACATATCCACAGCATGTCAAAATATTAAATAGACTCTTGTCTTTGAAAATCTGATAATAAGCTGGTTTATGCGTGTGCCTTCTGTATCTATTCACATAAATAAGAACCTTTAAAGTTTCAGATGAGCCAATCCGCATCGATGTAATGAAAATGAAGGACCCACAACAATGAGAGAGCGTCCTGAATAATCGATTAAAACTGTTCAATATTTAACAAACATCTCATTGACCAAAGATTCACATAGTCCAACAAGGAAACATGCAGAGGTAAATAGAACATGATTACCGAAATCAGTTATCTGCGACTGCTAGTATCTTCAAACTTCCAAAAAAAAAACTTAGGATGAGAAATCCTCTAAATATTTTTCTTTTCTTTTCTTTTTTGTTTTTGTTTTTGTATAAAAGCATCCATTAGATACTTTATGAATAGAGACAGTCTTTTTTAAGAAAGATGAA